CAATATTTCGATACAACCTGAGTGACAGAAGGGAGTTGTTTTATTGTTAATAGTCAATAAAAAAATAAAAAAACTGCAGGTAAATCTGAAATGTCATTTATGTACATATATATACATGTATGTATACATATGTATATTTCTACATATATACAGGCATGTATATGAATCATATTGACTGAAAAATCCTTAGACGGAATCTTCCACATAACGGTAATCGCAACTTTTCAGATGTATTAGAGTCTTTATTGACCTCCTTTTTATTGCTCGCGCGTCAAGAATGATTACTGGAAAAATAACAGGCTATCCGCTCATTCTGGACACTAAATTCAAGGAATGAACATATACAGCCCGGGATAGGAATGTTTGTGTCAGGGAAACCATGCGATAAATAAAATGATGAGCTTTCTTGGATCAAACTATTCACGTTTCTCGAGAACAGTCAGACAAACCATTCCTCGGTTGGCTGCTCTTTGGCTCATCAGGTAGCTGTAGCTCCCGAGTTTTCACCAAACGTATGATCTATCTGAACCAAAATTGTACGGAATTCCTGAAATCTAGCCATCTAGGCACCAGTTTCGTGCTAATTGCGGGCCCAGCTGATCCGATGAATGTTGAGACTCGATCAGGACCTCGCAGTGGTGCAGGAGCTCAAAATATATGGACCTCATGATCACTAGACAGCCTCCGATGACTGGTGGAAGATAGTGAAGAGGGTAACTAAATGAAGCTTTACTATGCGTAAGAAACGTCTGAAGGCCACTCGAAACTGACATAAAACTGGAGGTTGTTGTTCCTTTCGTATAGAGATTAGGAAAGACTTCTTGTCAAGCATTTCCATTCACATCACTGTTGTCTGAAAATTCTCGCTTCTGATCTAGCATGGCTATTCCGGTGAGTTCACTCCGAACGGGGAAACACTGAACTCGAGTTTTGATCCGATTAAAGCTCGTCAACAGTGAATTTCTTTAGCCTTGTTGGAATTTGGACTCTGCACATATGCGATGCGAGACAACTCAGTTAGCATTTCACCAGCGCACACTGGACACACCGCAATTATCACGCCTAAATAGGCGATCGTGTTTGCTCTCAAACTAGAGCAAAACACTCACTCGGCACTTCCCCTCTTTTGTGTGGACCCGCAAGAATAATTGCGTCAAGTCAGGGGAAGAACTTTTTAAAAGAGAGTTAGTTGAACATTAATTCTACAAATCTCGAAACCACACGCATTGAATCAAGAAATCGCCCAGCAAGCTTCATGGGCGCTTGAGACGTCCTGATAGGTAGGTCAATCGATCGATACAATCAGGGCATTTACTGCGTCGTCGCTCGAGGCGTCGGGCAAACTAATTACATCGCGCAAGCGTCAACAAGTTCCCCAGTTCAGGCGTAATAATTCAGGTGCATCCAGCGGGCGCTGGTGGAGAAACGGTAACACGCTACCCTCGCGTTTCTGATGCTAGAAGTTCAAATCCTGCGAGTTCAAAGATGAGCGAAGCCCTAGTGCAGTCTTTTCTCCCTTTGGAGTAAAATAACTAGAATAATAGCACCAGGACAGAAGCAGAGCTGATCAGGCAAGAGTGATGTGATCGCGAATTTCACCGATCCCGCAAACATCTTTAAATTGTCTTGTAGATTATCCTTATATGATCGCCGATCTAACCCTTCAACGTCAGGTGACGCGTGCTTCTGATTTAATTTCTTCTGACACAACTTGTTATGTCATCCGTACGCTACCCGCACACACCTACATTTAGGGCAACCAAACACAGTCAGCACACACAGACTCGCGCACTCGAGCACGCGCGCAGGGAGCAAGGTGTCAACCAAACACACCAAGTCCACGGACAATTATGGGGTACGTGTAGCAGCCAAACTGCGGAGGAAACACGTTCCGGCTGTCCGGACTTCCACCAAGGGACTCACGCATACGATAAGTTCCCTTTTGACTTGCTCCACATTCTATATTGCCTTTATCTTATACATACTGCAAATCGCTTCTGTAAGCTACTGTCAACCACAGTAAAGACTTATTAGTGCACATACACCTTCTGAGTTGTGCTAAGGCTATCCTCACCTGCGTACTAACAAAGTAAGCATCCGGTTCACACATCCGAATGCGTGGTACGGTAGAAAACCATACTGTCTCTGTGATCAGAGAGTCATTAAAAAAACTGACATAGCGAGTATAAAACATACGTGGGAGCACAAATGCCCTATGGATTGCATGGCACAATAACTGTTCATTTGAAAAACCGAAAGTTGCAGGAACTTTGGAGAACAGCTCTAGGGACAAACAGTTCTAAGGATGAGATAGGAGGACACTTTAGGAACGCTTTGACGGGAATTCCAATATTGGGAACAGGAGGCTCAAAGTAATCCATTCAAATTCAAACATCCAGCGTCGCAGTACTCAGGGTCTCAAGCAAACAGATGTAAGCAAAGCGCACAATGAGGCAAACAGTGCTTATCTGGTCTTTGGTACCCAACTTAGCGCTGCGATATGCTTTCAAATAAGAAAGCGCTTTTTCGAGATAAGACAAGGAAGAGCGAAGTTATGTCATGCAATGTCTGATCGAAAGTCCTGAGTGGCGTGTCTGGGATTTTCACAGAGTGCAGGTCAAAAGCCATCTGTCATTGAAGAACCAGGGTAAAGTACTCCAATGGATGTTGATTGCCAAAAATTGTGCGTCCTCAAATCTAGTCGAATTCTCACACAACTACGATGGGAAAATTTGCTTGCTGATTCTATCAGAAATCGCGGATTTACTGGCCGCATACACTTGTCCGAAAATCGGTGTGGGTGGCCTTTCATCTGGGAATCTGACCTATATTCCGCCAGCTTCTTTGATGAGTCGCAATCTCTTGTTTGTTTACTCACAGCGGCACAGAGTGTACCGCCCCAAACCGGAAGATGTAATGAGAGGATATCATCATTCCCAACTTCAAATGAGGCCAAGGTGCATCGAAAACCGTCGCGTGTAACTACAAACAACCAACTACATGCGCAACATTCTCACCATCAAAACGCATGACATCCGAAAGTTTCAGTGATTAGGTTTCACAAAGCTACTTAAAGTTAGGAGAACTGATACACATATAGTGTTTTGGAAAAGCTTTTCCGCTAGCACATGTGCTCCGGTGTTCTCAGGATTCTCAATCACAATGAACCAATGCGAAAAAGGTGAAAATTTCACCTATCGAGTGCGCAGTCACAGGCCTAAAGAGAAGGATGTTATATTCAGTTGAATAAGAGCATTGTAGACAAGAGTTTCAGCTGAATTCAGCTGTCTTCGGTCGAAAAAAGCTAACTATGCGAGTGAGCCTACTTTGTCAAGTGCGTCCAAATTGGGTTCAAGTAGAACATAAGGTTGACTGGAGCTCGGAAACTATACTGAACTGGTTGGGCTGATCGTTAGTTGTCCAGATGTTTTTAGGCCATCACATCAGTAGTATTCTCCGATGTCTCGAAAAATTTGGGCGATGTAAGTGGCCTTGAAAAATACCATCTCAAACGATAGATTCAGTTGAATTCCTTTGGGTATCTTTTTAAAATCAAACTGAAGTTCAGATTCGTGTGTATTTTGTGAATGAAATATTTCCCTCCACAAGGTCGAATGCAGCTGACATGTCTCCTCTCAATATTTCCTACAAATCATAGAAGAACTGATGTAAATTCTACTAATAAATATCTGCCTGATCCCCATCACCTGTTCAATTACCAACTGAAGAAAAATAATTGCTTTTTTGTCATTAAATAAGGAAGCAAGAGGAGCACGGAGTACAAATGTGGAATACTTCAGCAAACAGCAAACAACCAAGCAATGTGAGAGCGGAACAAAATTAGTTTCCATGCAGATGCCAGATGCTGTTACTTACCGTTCACCAACCTAAGGTGATTAATATTCTGAATAGCTTAGTATCACGACTGAACGATTGACTAGTGTGGGTAACTCACTTTGTAACGAGCTAACTAAATTCCACTGAGTACAATTGTTATATCTGCTGATTCGCCAATCTTTGGTATCTGCTGCTGACATGCTCTATTGCCCAGTGCCTGAAAAAAGACTCACAGGAGGGAACACAACAGCTATATTCCGAACAAGTGAGCGCGAGAGCAAAAGTTAAAGGGGACATTCTGACATTGATCCAGGCTATCTGATAGGCGTTAGTGAACACCCGTCAACATCGATCGTGCCTCTATGAAATGCCTGAGCGCTGATCACATTCGGTCGTGCTTCTGTGGCGTGCATGAACACTCATCAGCTTTTACTGAATTGATTGAATGATTGACTGGCCTGAATGCTTGTCGGCTTTCCGGTTGAGATTTTGGTGGAGCAGTAGGTTCCGGGCTTTCTGAGGTTACTTTCAGGAGTTTGATCTTCCTGATAAAAATAGTGGCTCGCGTTCATTTTCAGCTTTGATAGATGGATCAGAACAATAGTCATTATGCATGCGATTCGGACTGTCCTGGTCACATCGTTACCACTTCTGGAGTTCCTGTGAAACATGATCCTTGGGGGTATCGCGTCCAGGGGAAAGTGCGCTGCTAAAAAAGGCTGACTGAATACGGATCGTAATTTATGGTTGACGTTCTCCGAGATTTTATCGCTTTTAAATTGCAGACAAATCCATATTTCCCTCTTCTTGGCCGCAGTGGCCAGATCGGGTTAAGGGACTGTTTTGCTATATGAATTCAGCAGACAATTTACGTTGCCGATCATTCACACGGATACTTCAAACCCGTGGTACAGCATTTCGACTAATCCTTGCTTGCGAGCCATCAGCGAAGCAAGTGAGCGCTGTAAATAGCCTTAGTATGGCCAGCAACTTATCCGAAATATTCAAAATGCGCTGATCCAGTCCTACTGCACATCGTGATAAACGGATAGTTCAAACCATTGCATCAGTGCCGTTATCTCACGAAGTAAACTACTCACATGATTGCTGAAAACTATTCGGCAGCCCACGCCGGTTTCACCCTTCTTGGGGTCATCAGGTAGGCGTATTCCCCGGGTTCCCGTCAACCGTATGTTCTACTTGAACCCGAATTGGACTGTTTTCGAGAAATACACTCATTTGCAAATCAATTTGGACCGGACTGTGCCTATCTGGTGAGCCAAAAGAAGGGCGAAATCGGTCGTGGGCCGTCGAAGAGTTTTCAGCAAACTTGTGAGTAGTTTCCTTTATGAAAGTAGTCTGTTCTTCTTTGTTAAATAGGTCAACCTTAGCTCTCAACCGGCGGTGAGTTTGTATCTGCGCTACGATGAAGCATGTCATTACTATATATAATTCCACAATTTGAAGATCCAGTGTCACGAAACTGCCACCACTGTTTTTTATCGCATCACTGTCTGAAACAGAGTCTGCTGTATTGAGATTTTCTCATAAGATGATCGGAATATCGTTTCACATGATTATTTTTCCAACAATACGTTTCCGTTTGATGCGTGTGAATCCTCAGATTGTCAAAAAACCAAATGTGCCCAGGGCAGTTTGCGAAAAAATGTAAAAAAAACGAAATGAACCGCATGATTATGTGAGATAAAATTACCATTTAAAAATTCTTGCAACCTTTGAATCGAGTGGTAGGTTTTACTTTGATTTTAGACAAATTTACTTAATCGTAGGCACAGTATTGCGCAACCGTTGAAGTCATAGCATTTTGGTGGTTTTCGTGAGTATGGCTAGGTTGGATTGAATGTGAACCGAGCATAACACGTTACGTTTGATCAGAGTCATGCAAGAGCTTAAGAAGAACAATGCCGTTGATTAATTCTACTGTTTAAAACGAGATTCGAACTAAACCTGTGATTGGTTGGGTGGCATACCTGTGAAACGAACCTCAGATGTTGCAATCTGATGGTTGGATAATTCATCAAACTTTGGATTAAGGACTTCCAACGATTTTATCGAGTGAGAACTCGTGTAAGTTATAAGTACTGGATTCATTATCTACAACACTTTCTTAAAAAACGTACATCCTTGACGGCCGAGGTGAACACGAGAGTGGAATGAATATCCACGTGGAGAACAAAGCCCTTTCCTAGTACTCTACTTGATTAGCCTGTTTCATCGCTTATTTCAGTCAGCGTGCTACGCGAGATTATTTAGGCTTTTAAATCACGGTCCTCAAAGCCTATCAAAGCCTGTATGCCGTGTGATTCGATCGAATGTCTTGACCTGTGTACCCTTTCTCATGAGGTCGCTTCATTGCACACTATCACTTTGCGTTCATAGCTGGTCCCAGCTACGATTCAAGACACCTGAGAATCAAGAAGAGTATGCAAGTAAGCAAAGCACCCGGTGCCCGGGCCAATGTAACTGATGGCAGTCAAACATCACTGGCAAGCATGTGACATTTTGAGGAGGGTGTAGGTATAGGGTGTGTACTACTGGTCAATCATGCAAGTAGCGTACAGCCAAGTGTAAAAGCGCAATCCCTTTATTTGATGGAGGGTAAGTAAGAAAATTAAGAAACCACTTTGCAGCACAAATTCATTATAGCTTATTTTTAAGCATCGTTTATGAAGGTTCAAGGCGATGCTCGGACATGTTCAAGTTTTGAAATCTGGGCTAAGTGAGCTGAAAGATATTGACTCCGCTCATGATATGCTGTGAACAATTGCTTCGGAAGGACAATCTTGGTAAGGTAAAGTTTGGGCCAATAAATTTTGCTTGGAGTATCAAATTAATGCCTAGTGTGGTCACATGGGATGACCAAACGGCAGATGCGAGTTGCTAGTGAGTGCTTGACAGAGGTATCGGTGCCCTGCAATTCTCCCTCTAAATTGTGCGGTAGTGATAGGACTAAACAGGGTCGGTAGCTACGATCACACTGACTAGGCACTTACATAATTGTTACCTATTCATGAGAACTACCTGTAGGGCAGTTACAAGAGTGAAGGGTGGGCATCCAAAAGTAACCTCGCGTATGCAAAACACTCAAATTTCAGGTAAGCATGCTTAGGTGTTTGGAAATTTCTAAAGCGGGACTTTTGGTTAGATAAGAACGAATAAATCTACAAATGCAGGGAATCTGGAACAATGTGTACCACTGTTCCAAACAGCAGAACCTGATATTTTGGAAAAACAAAATAGCCTTGATTTAGTGATTGCCAAGAGCATTAATGGCCTACTAATGAAGGCTTGTGATATGTTCTTGAATCATTGGAGAGTGTCATTCCGTTCAGACATTAGGTGAATTAGCGTCTCAGAATTTTTCATTTCAGCAGAGAAGAGTTTTTTTTTTAAAATTGCTCTCTGATTTTGATTAGCGATTAGGTGTTGTGCTCAGCCTATCCGTGTGCATTTGTTAGGCACCCAAGGTCGGGTCAATAGCATTCTGATTTGCTGTCAACCCTCTGTATAATTATTAGCGTTAGAATACGGGGAAAATTCATTGAGTTCCGGAACCGGCTGCCCAAAGGTTACCATAGTCTAAAATATCTGAGGACGTGCTCTAATAGGCCATATATATCACTTAGCCCTTAAGAATCAAGCATACCCTGGTAGGTACTTGTCTTTTGTTCAGGACTTCTAGGTCAGCTCTACTCAACATTGGAAGTGTCCCTTTCGTGCGAAGGCCTGTTATCCCATACTGCACATGTAAAGTTTAGCACAGTGATCCTGAATACACAACAGGTTTGACTTGTGTCCGGTAGTAGTTAGATTGCAGGCTAGTCTGACGGCCTATGTATTTTACTTTCTAGAAAATAGAATGAATTGGGGTCCTTAATCGATCGATCCTTTTGAATAGGTCTAACAAATTCGTTGACAGCGACTTCTAGGCTTATATAAAATGCCAACGCTTTTCTCTTGAAGCCCTCTGAGAGGAGAGATCATCACATATACACCATGCTTTCTTTCGTTCTAAGTTGGTATCAGCAGCAAACCAGTACATAGGATGAGACGGGATTAAATTTAGACGTAACATACCGTTTTTCTGTTGGTTCTGTAGTCACGGCAAACATTTCAAGAATATGTGACTTGTGAAACACTAGGTTTCCTTAGGTTTGGTTGGGAAGCCACCTATGATAAAACTCCACCAGACCTGTGAAGTAAAGTATCTCTCCCCAACTCAATTCTGTCAGTCTCACAGCCGAAGTGACCACACATACCGTGTTGAACTTTTGTCTCAACTAGCTGGAACTTGCTGTTTATCAAGCTATAAAGAAAGGATGTGGGGATGAAACTATGAGATCTAAATAAATAAATAAATAAATAAATAAATAAATAAATAAATAAACAAATAAATAAATACAGTTAACTCATGGTCTCTACAGCCACACCGATTATCATTAAGACCTTAATATCAGTGGTTTATTTCTTGTGATATATGCAAAAATGAGACACACGAAATGAGTGAAAATTAGGAACAAAAGAATCCATCGGGTCCCACTCAGGTATTTGTGTACATGAGTGCCCAGTTAACTCTTGGTCTCTACAGCCACACCGATTATCATTAAGACCTTAATATCAGTGGTTTATTTCTTGTGATATATGCAAAAATGAGACACACGAAATGAGTGAAAATTAGGAACAAAAGAATCCATCGGGTCCCACTCAGGTATTTGTGTACATGAGTGCCTGAACACTTTTGCCATGCTTCTGGTGATGTTTGGTCTTGTGGTCCATTAGCGTGGTCTTGAACGTTTGGCCAATTAGGCAGGAAAGCCTTGACTAGTCTTGTCTGTTTTCCAAGCCTTGGAGTCTTGGCTTGATAGAAATCGATTCAGCTTTTTGCAGGACACGTGAGTATACATTTGGACGGGTGGTGAGCAGCTCAAGAGAGCATTCACATCCACCCTATGGCTTGTGTTGATTAGGAGGGGAAAATAAATGGGCTACTAAGTGATCCCATGCTATTACCAGACAAGTGTGTAGTTTGATGCTAACCGATGGGGGGATGCACCCTGACGGATCGAAACATCAGCGTGGACGGCGTAGTAGGCGCACCCGAAGAAAGGAAACAACCATGATATGCTCAACACTGTTTGCTTGTTCTTGCTATTAGCAGAAGTATTGAACGACTTTTGAAGAAAATATCACATACACAAAGTGAAAGGTAGCTCACATGAGACCCTTAAGACCATTTGTTAAAATCCCAGTTGCAGTTGGTCTTCGACCTAAGGGGACCAAGGATTTTCTTGGAAAAACTTCTTGAGGTAATCGTTGCCTCGATCCATGCAACGCAAGAGATCAGGTGTTCCCCACAAACATGGGGCTGAGAATCCATCTCTATGATTTGACGCTAGGCATCTAACGAGGACTGGTTTCTGTCTCAAATGAATAAAACTGACGGAGCTGTTGTATTGTCAAGTTGATGACATCTTACAAACATTGCCAATCTGACAAGTGGTTTGGAAGATCATCGATAATCACCGATTATTTTTTCCTAGTGGTTGTACACTTTATCAAACAGTGAGAACTCGTGAAGTGTTCATTCAATTTTTGGTTTAGTTATACGGAAAATATCATCTACCTACTGGCAGTAATGGCCTATGTCAGCGCTGAGATACCGTCGTTGGAAGATGTATCGTCCAGTACCCTGTCATTTGAAATTCCCCACGTTTCTTCTGTCCCCATTGGTAACTCCCGCTCCACTTTTGTGTTTGGTGCGTGTGTATGAACTGGCGTTTGTTTGTCCCCACCACTTCACTTATTTATCCTTGAGGTCATCTAGCCAATTCGTGGCTGACCTCATGCCTCTGTGACCGTCTCACGTGGAAGTCCGTTTGCTCATTTGGTTTGTACTTTTGGAGCCCAAGTGGACCAATTGCTGTGGACGAGTATCTACTGTTGATGTTTGTATATTTTGTGAATTTGTACCGAATGGAAACTCAGCTTCGACTTTGTCTTGCCATCCCAGAGATTCTGGTATCACGCGTCACTCGGAGATACCGTTTGGGTATAACTCTGGCATTCAAAAAACCTCAAAAAACACAAGTTAACGCGGGGCCAAGTTTCATCTCTTCGAAACAGAGCTTAGAGTTAGTCCTCCAGCGCCAAAACCTCAAGGGACACGACTCGATCTCTTTTCCAATATGCCTCCAGATAATGGTGACCTCGAAACGCGTCTCGAATAAAACCTGAAAGCTAGTGTCACTATTTCATCACGACATTCTGGTTTGACTTTGAAAGGTGGCATAGGTTTACAGAGGCAAAACCGTTCAAAACAGGAGTTTCATTCTCCACCGCCGTTGATCAGAGCTGAGTAGTATAAAACGAACAGCGCTCTGATGATTACTGATTTCTCCTAAAAAATTTATTCAAACTTTGGCACAGTGTCCCTGTGACAGCAAATATCATGCGCCAGTTCATAAAACGGATTGAAGTAACGGACGACCTCGAATAAACTGGTACAGTTTCTGCGAAACAGTGAACCACGATGTTGCTTCATTTGACCGGATTCACATTCTACTGGATCCAAAGGGTTTCCATTGTTTAGTTTGTTCACAAGTCGCATTTTAGGCTTTTTTAGTGACACATCATTTCGCTCGTTGTCTTGATGGACTCTCATGGTTGGATTCGTTCTCGTTTCTCAACTCAAATATCGCAATTGTTGGGGTTTGCCCCGGATTTCGATGATTCACGTTTAGACTGTTTTGCAAGTGAGTGTATTTCACCGATTTCGCGCAATTAGGGTTCAGGCAGAACATCAACTCGGGGAAAACTCGGTGACTGAGCTTATTTGATGAGCTCAAAAAAGGGCGAAACCAGTCGTCGGCTGCAGAAGAATCGTCAGAAACCTTATTAGTAGTGTATTACGTCTATATATAATACATATGTTTCAAAAGCTTGTACGTGATCCTTTTCACTACTATGTTGTAACAACGCTTTCTCAGCTCCATTTTCGCGGTTTTGTGTGCCACGAAACGTGAGCTATATGAGTGTGGAACAAAGTTCTGTCTCTCTAGTCCTGCATTCCCCACTCAATATGCCAACCGAGATCATCTCCTCTATGACGGTATTTGAATCAATTCATTCGCAATAAAACAGACTTACAGTTTATAGACCAAAAAATCGCGCGTAATCCTGAAAACCTGCTAGAAACTCAATTAACGGGGAATTATTCCCTTCCCAAGTAGTCACGAATCCTGAAATATTCTGAAATTTTTGCAAAAAAAACTATCATCTATCTCCTCAGGACGCACATGTATATACTAATCATCAAAACTGCCTTGACCGTGAACATGATAGCAGGATTCCCCGGAGATTTGAGTATATATGTTTTTTGAATTTGATTTATTTAATAAATCTAGTCAAGTTGTAACATCCTGTGGTCAACCACTCCATCCAGCTTCTTAGGAGTTTCCGTCTCGTGTCACTAGCTGGTTTGTTTCATTAGGAGTTGGTCATAGCGTCGAACCAAACAGGTACTAGGCAGAGCGAAATGCATCAGTCAGCATTTCCGAGCCCTCAAAACAAACTGTTTAGGTTTCGATGCCGCAGTTATGCCAGTGATCTGGAAGATAAGCCTTAGACGTGCCAACAAACGTTTATTGCCTTAAATGTGGATTTTTCCAAGTCTACCTTTTATTCTCGACTAAGTCTCGGAACCTTGTCCAGCAATCGACTTTTCCTATGTGGCGAATAATTTGCTGGTGCACACATTCCTAATTTTTGAGGATGAGATATTCGATTGTGCAATCAGAAAACGCACCACAGCCTAGGTAAAACACTCGGTCATGACACAAAATGGGCTTAATTTGACGTTAACCGCCAAAGGTAGTTTAAAAGTAAAAGCGAGCTGGCATGAGCTGGACAAAGGAAACCTTCAGCGGAGTGATCTGATAGAATAATCACCACTCATATTTTCAGATCCGAACTCAACTTCGACAGCGTTTTGTTCCAAAACGTGCCTATTTCACGTTCCCTTAGGAGTGCCCGGCCCCAAAAGATCGGTTCGATAGCGTCACATGAGAGACTGCCCTTTTTGTGAGAAATCCACCTAACCAACGAGACTTGGAAACATTGATCACACAAACCTGGAGTCAGTGACACAAACATGATATCCTTTCTTGTCAGACATCTCATACAAGAAGTTGCTTATTAGGGAGACTGGTTTTATTATCCGTAGAAAGAGAATTTTCTGATCAAGCAATCATTCTGTACGCTCAATCAATCCAGAAAGTAGAGAAGCAACATACAGTTTTTATCACTATTTCAAAGAAACTCATGAGAACACAAGTTTACACGGGACCAAGTTTCATCCTTTCTCTAGCGCCAAGACTCCGAAGAACACGACTAGAACTCTTTTCCAATATGCCTCCAGATAATGACGACCTCGAAACACGGCCTCGAACAAAACCTGAAAGCTGGTGTCATTACTTCATCAAACTAAGCTGGAATCAGTGACACAAACATGAGATCCTTTCTTGTCAGGCATCTAAAACAAGGAGCTGCTAATTAGGGAGACTGGTTTTTATCATCCTGTACGCACAATCAATTCGGAAAGCGAAGAAGCACCGTATAGATTTTGACCCCTATTCCTAGTTGTAAGAAGTGCGCTTCGGACGATCCTTTAGATAGCCTTGGATTTACTGCCTCAGCCTATTAGTTGACGAGTAAACCGTCCTGGTATGAGTGGCCGATCAGCAACAAGGCTAACTCCAATGCGGACATGATATAAGGACATCCGGACTTTCAAAATGGGGTCATTAAAAAGGAGGGCGCATATTAACTAACTGTTCGGATGACTTTTTAAGAAAAAGCTTTACTTGTCATGTAAATTACTTCTATTTTTGAGTTAATTATTAATAATCTTGGTGTTGTTTCCTTCATCATAGCTGCCTGCTCTTCAGAGACCACTAGATTATTTCACTAGGATGAAATGTAATGTGCGCTGCAACTGGTCTTCACCCAGGACAGCATACAGTTTTTGATATCTTTTGCAGCACTTGCTTTTATGGCCACAATGGGTTAAGGGTATTTACAAAAGATGGCTTATTTAATGAAGATTTTGTCCCGCCGTTGAAAGCGATCTATGCTGAAAAGACGATTTCATCTGCATTATGCATCTCGCAAAACGCAGGGTTTCAAACCCTCGAAATTTCAGCCACTGGGTGAACGCAATCCTCAATACGTGACCACGTGGTGTGCCTTCCTTGATTGAAGGATGAGTGGCACTGTGTCTAGGTGAGAGCTTATCAGTCGCTCGTGGCCAAACAGTTAGGTTTACTAACACTGGCCGGAAGTTCACGGGTTAGAAATTGTCTGAGTTTCGTAAAATTCACATTGCTGATGATTCCTAAGAGGGATGAGACAGCTGTACGGTGTTTTTTAAAAAACCTCGTTCGGGAGATTTGTGAATATTCTTCACTTTCATGGATGGGGGCTCAAAATTTTAAGTTGACGAGCGAATCTACTTAGACAATAAGAATAGCCCAAACCCATTCTGAATCAACTACATGCGCGTAGTAAATCAGTCCGGGTCTGCTGCGCAGCTGAGCTTTTGCGATGGGAGAAAGACCCTGCCGAACCGTTTCTTCATGGGATCATATGTTAGGTCCAACCCAGTCAGCAATGGTTCGCTTTCATCCATGAGCTTATGATCGTTGAGAAATCCCCCTACCACCGTCACAGGTTTAAGATTTAAAATCCCCAGAAAGCGTTGTCTTGGTTTGTTTTTTTTTAAAATCCCTCTAACACCGTCACAGGTTTAAGATTTAAAATCCACAGAAAGCGTTGTCTTGGTTGCTTTTAATCAACGAAACAGTACGCAGAAACTGATGTTCAGTCAAAGTCTAATAGAGTAAGCAGCAAGACATGTGCCAAAAACTAGTGTGAAATCTTCGAGAAATACACTCATTTGCAAATCGATTTGATTTTCACGAGAGACTCAACTGAAACTCTCGTATATAATAATCTACAGCCGAAAGTGCTGCACACAGGCCGTCTCATGTTTCACTTGGCGCGATATTCGAGATATCGCAGTATATTTTCCCAAAGGAATCTACTCATAAGGTTGCTGAAAACTCTTCGACAGCCCACCCCCTCCTGGAGCTCATCAGGGAGGCGCAGTCCTCGAGTTTCCGTTATGTTCTACTTGACGTTTTATTTTTTACGAGCTATGGTCCGGTATTTTGACACTGTCACAAGCTGGAGTGGCAAACTGCTACTAGCAAGATCCTGGAAACTGATTTTCCTGGTCAGTGTTTATGCCACAAGAGACCAGACGTTTAGTTAGATTCCGTACAAGAGGCAAAACGACATGTGTACAGAGAAAGATTCTTTCGGTATTGCCAACCGAAAGAATGTTACGAAAAGTGATCGCGTTCAATGACAGTGTAACAGTCTGAAAGTTCCAAGGGATTGCGGTAATAAAAAAACTAAAGTAAAATGTGAAATTCAGTTTCAAAGAGCGGGAACTGTGTTGTTACCAAAGACAGTGCATAAAAAAATCGGCTAAAAGCAAATATTAAGACGCTCCCAAGGATTCAACTCCAAGTGTTTGGACACATTGGGCACTGTCTTCAACAAAGCGGAGTGTAGTTGGCGGATCGTGGAATTTAGACCACTTCTATCATGCAAAATTTTCCCGTGATTCTGAAACTTTGGATCACGTGCTTCACTGTTTTTCCTAATGCTAAAGAAACTTGAATTGAGTATAATTAGCCCTTTGTACCAGTGTCAGTCAATTAATAACCCTTTCAGTGTATTACTCGGAGCGCAGTTCGCCTTGAGGAGTAGTTTGTTTTCTTGTGTTAATCACGGGAAAGAGCCGGAAAATAAGAAGGACCAGTAATGGGTGGTCACCGTATGTGATTGACTGAACTATTGTGTTCGCTCGTAGCTATTGTTGTGTAGCCAAACGTTCATTCCCATTACCAATGACCCCGTTTATTTCAAACGAATGAATTGGTAGACTAACACAGCGCACGTATTTAGGCTTGCTCAAAAGTGAATCATCAATTCAAGGGTAGTAGGTACTATGAATAAAATAACTATCCCGCAAAACCCCAAAACAGCAATCAAAAAGTTGTCCAGTGTGCGTCACGCTACCTGACTGGGAAGTCCTGATTGGCGGGTCAGTCGATCGTCACAACCAGGACAGTTACTGGGTCGTCGTTCGATGTGTCGGGCACACCAATCACATCGCTCAAGTGTGAACGCGTTTGCCTGTTCAGAAGTGACATTTCAGATGCGTCCAACGTGCGTTAGTGGAGTAGTGGTTACACGCTCGCACCGCATGTCAGATGTCCGGGGTTCAAATCCTGGCACGGGGATTGGATACGCACTGCTAGTAAGAGCGTAACCTGAGTCAAGTGCTTCCCCTTGGTGTGGATGGACTCACCGGAATAATTACGCCAGAACATGAACACGGCCGTTCACGCGAGAGTGGTGTGACTATGAACCGCAAAACTACTTGTAATTACTTTAAATAAAATCTCTGGAAGTAAGATAACATTATTCTTCAGTGTTTCAGATGTTGAAAATGTTTTAGATGCTGTTGAAGCCCTTGTATTCTACTGACTGGCCTCAATGTAGGACTCAGAGAGCTGCACGGTGCCATATTGTTGAAGATGGCGTATTCCTGAAGGATATCACGTCAGTCGGATACCTGCGCAAAATGGACGAAGTTTCACTTTGTCCAACTACGTTTCAATGCTCTCACGCTGACCATTAGTTAAATGATCGAAGACGGGTTATCGATAAGCAACTTTCAAGAGATGTGTTTTCCCACACATCTGAGTTGTCTGTACCAAACACGTCATCAATCATTTAGAAAGGTCTTGACTAAGTAATCAATATACTAATATTCAGTACAAATCCATCCTCCTTACTCGAAAAACGGGTCCGTGTTCTTGAAAAAAAAAACAACTAGTCAAGTGGTCCACTTTGAACAGAATCACAGCAGGCTAGCTGGAAGTGTTCAGTTTAGGCTGCATACAGCAAGTATGTGAACTCAAGCAAACCGAACTGACTAGGGTTTCCAACTACCACCAAATGTCATAATTAACTAGGAAGACTCCTATGAACCGGGAAATAATTTTGTCCCCTACTTTTGATCCTCATAGTTCCGTGGAAATCTCTTAATCGCGCCAAACTTTTTCAAACCTGCATGCCTACCCGCCCCATTCAGTCCATAGGCTCCTGTATGGAAGGATATAAAAACGTCAATGTGCCACATGACGCCATGGAGACAATAGCCCACAGAGACTGATAGCTGAATCGTCCACCTGGTAACCGTTGTCTATTTCAGGAAATGTACCTTTTATCGCAAAATATTCGTTTCAGCCTAGAATGCTGTTGGATAGAATTCCTATCGCATTTTCAACCACTGCTCCATGAGAGATTTTCCAGTCGTCTGGAACAGCAATATCCTTCTCCAGATTTGGGCACATGTTAAAATTTGCGCCGTTACATGCTGTGTCCACATAAACTGGGCTGAGTAAATTTGAAAACCTCATCTTTTTTTCAGCAGATCTGGCATTCAACGTAAGAAGAATGTATCAAACGGTTTCATTACATGCATACCAAGGGAGTGAACTTTGCAAGCGGAATAGGAAATGCATTTGGGCTGCTAAGCATTGTGTTTCTCCTATCTCTCGCATTACAGCCGATAGAAGGCGTATGTTGCAATATCCGTTATTTTTCTTGCTTCAGTCGTAGATGTTACATGGGCGATTTGTAGTAACACAGAAATGAAACAATTCTGAACAACCATCGATTGTTCGCAACCTGATTTGGCCACCTTGACACTGTTCCCGACCAGAATTTATAAAGTACACACTTGCTTGCGAATAGAGAGCAAAAATATTATCTTTCTAACGTACTACTCATAAGGTTGCTGAAAATCCGTCGACAGTTCACAACCGGTTTCGCCCTTTTTTTTGCAAATGAGTGTATATTAGCAAAAAATATTCTTTGGCATAACCTTGAACTGCGTTCAGTCTAGTCCATGGCACCTCGGATCCTTTTTGGTGGAAACGCTATGCCTACGCAGGACTGTAGGCTATGAGGTATTTCTCGCAAAGTCAACCACAGATTGCTTTGCGGTAGTTTTCCTCGACAAGAAATCAACTTAGAGTTGATAAACATTTCTCAGCAATTCATTGCCCGTTTTTTTGTTATTTTCGGAGCCCGTTAGGTAAAAGTATTTTTAAACTCTGTGGAAATCTTAGTTCACCCCAAAACAGCAAGTGAAACGTAGGTTAAACGCTTATGTGCAAATCACTATGCCGTTTGGGGGACAGACTCAAATACATTTTCATCATTTACAATAATCATACTCGCCTTATATTTTTACTGAATGGCTGAACACACTGCGACAGTGCTTCCAAATTGGATGAAATTTTTGGCGACAGCTAACTGTCGTTTTCGTTGCTTTTGGGTTCATCTGGTTGAAACTCTGCCTCAAAGTCGATTAAATCCTGACACTAGGTCGTAAACTGAAAAATTGTCATGTGGAGATATCTGGCCATCGGCTCACTAAACAAAGACGAACGTCACACATTACTCTTGGTTGAAAGAATTGCCCGAGCGGAAAATATGTTTAGGTTTCTTCTTGTCATCATTTCAACTAGAAAGTGGATTTTTTAAAATCAAACACAGTTGAGAATCTTGATTAAATTTGCCGAGCGCATTTGTTGGCATGTGACTGCGTCACAAATATTTAATCGGTATTCGTAAATTTCAGTACAAGTACGGTGAGTCGTAGGCGAGCCTTGACAACATCTCAAAACCTGAGATGGTGTGATCGAAAGGAAAGTATGAAACGCTCCAAGAGAGTTTGCTCGGAAAACAGTTTACTCCTTTTGAAACTTCATGAAAGTAGTATTCTTCGGCCTCAATACACCGTAAATTTCCTCAGACTACTTATTTCGAAACAAGGTAAAACCATTCCATTTCCTGTAGTGTTCTTTCTTCTGGCTAGTCATGCCCAAGAGTATGCATCTAGCCAAATACTTTAAGTTTTCTAAAACGCCCTTTTCTCTCCTTGAATTTGCTTTCTTTGCCATGCTTTTTGGATGATTTTTCTTAAATCTTAAATATATCTTTTTGAGAATTTAACCTCCTTGACGTAAATTGATTCGACCCGGCTTTCTAGCAATCCTACAGTCTTGGGAGCGAAATATAATAAGGCCGCAGCATGCTTTTCATAGAGGTTATCACGCTCAAGCTTGCTGAAAAATCTTCGACAGCTCGTGACCGGTTTTGCCATCAGGTAGGCACAGTCCCCCTGTTTCCGCAAAACATTATTTACTAACCACGCCGATAGTGAGATAATGGCTCTCTGTTTCACTGAATAAAGGATGCACGAAAGAGTAATCCGCTTTCTCTATAAAGGAAACTACTCACAAGTTGGCTGAAAACTGTTCGACAGCCCACGACCGGTTTTGCCGTTCTTGAGACTCATCAGGTGGGCGCGGTCCTCGAGTTTCCGTCAACCTTATGTTCTACTTGAACCCAAATTGAGCAAATACACTCATTTGCAAATCAATTTGGTTTTAACCGGAGAATTTTTCTTGTTTATGATGTTCCTGAACTGAATGTGCTGCACACAGGCCGCCTCATATTTCATTCAGTACAATATATTCGAGATATCTCAGTGTATTTTCATAACGAACAGGAACGTGGGGCGGCCTTTGTGAAGCACATTCAGTTAAGGAACATCATAAACGAGTGATTCACTCGAGTCTTTCGTGAAAACCAAATTGATTCACAAATAAGTGTATAGGCTGTTTTCTAGGGTTGTACGGTTTTTTATTGATCGTGGTTAATACGAACCATGCATCTGATGTAAGAGAGTTGCTGGTCAACAGATTTCTGGTTATTACACATTCCGAACGTAAAGTATGGCATACCAAACTGTAGGTCCTACGTTTTTGATGGTGAGAAGTCGGTTTGAAAGGAATGTTTTTCTTCCCACATGGATATAACTCCTGATCCTAGGGAAGAACAGATGCTTCTGTACTAATCAAACGAACCTCTCTTTTAGGGAAAATGTTTCTATTCCTCCAGGCTGTACCAAAGATATTTGCGGAATGACATACTTGCTTCGCTGAGTATATTGTATGAGGAATAATTATGAAAGTTTTCGCAATTTTAGACTTGACACTGCACGGGATTCAAATTTATTATGTCATTTCCCAACGGCGATTCATCGACCGCCATATCGTTCCAGATATCAAATTGATTGAAAAGCCAGTGATCGTTATTGCGGAGATTTGACGTGAGTTTTCAGATACTATCACATCCGTGCCGAAGGAGTGTAGACAGTCTGGATGTTTAGGCACTGACCGCGATGTTTGATGACAGCTTTCCTTCTACGGGTAGTATACTGACTGTAGACAGTACCTGCCGAAACGCTAAGAACTCAGTGCTCGGAGAAGAAATGGCTGGCGTATGTACTATTGCTCAAGCCTGGCCACTTCTCTGGGCTGATTTAAAGAAGCCGGCATTATGCTGCCTAGGACCTTGAGCCAAGTCGACGGCTAATGTACGAAATGCCACTGGTTTCATAGAGATTTTCGTAGATTTAAATAAAGTGATATAACCTCCAGATACTCATTTACAACTTCAAAAAAACGAAGGGTAGGATACCCCGAGGTGTGAATTTCCTGACGGCGACCTTGATTTGGGAGCAATATACCCTTTTGTTACGCACCAACGCTCACTTTGATCCATCTCAGTATAAGTTCTTTCCTCCGGTAATAAATACAGGGTGATATCCTTTTGGGATGTACCGCACACCTTGCTTTTAGGTTACACCATTTGAATATTGAAGAGTGGCGAACACGTTTGGATTCTACCAGTAAAAAAATAGAGCACGCGTTTGTAATTTCTGCTGTTTTTTTTGTCGACAGTTTACGATTTCGTTCAGCCTTGCCTCCCTGAAGAAATTCAACATTTGTGTGGCCCAATTCAGCACGTAAAATTTGCCTTTTATTGCAAAAATCGTATTTTCCCCTTAAAGTACAAAACAAAAGGTCAGAAAATGTGTAGTTTTGAGCAGGTAATACAAGGTGATATCAGCTAATTCAGTACAAAATAGAAAGTCTTTATGCCAGTTACTACTCAAAGCCGCCAAGAGAGTGGAAGTACAGAGCTTATTATCAAGAAAACAGGAAATGTTATTGACGTCACCGCATCATTCGACATTTCGCTACTATGAAAACCCACGCTTGAGAATTTTGAGAAAACCTCCACATGTATTAGCTGTTCAGTGAAACGGAACCCTATTGGAAACAACTGAAAGAATTTATCAGATTCTGCCTTGTCGTATAGATGTGTATCGCATTCACAGCTATTCAAACCCCCCCCCGCCTTCAACTTCTCTTATATTTTAGCTGTAAAACATCGTGTTTACACGTTCTTTACGAACACACCGTCCTCACCTCAACTCAACACCTCCGATTTCCACGTACAGACATTTAGCAAAACACACCACTGCATTTCACCAGCTGCAAAACGTTTTTGTAAAGACCCTTCCTTTCGCAATGTTTAACAGTTCACTCCAAATTTGAAACTTTTGAACTCAGCATATTTCATCAGAAATTTGTGTTGAGGTAACATCGACAGCTGATTTTTGTTTCGTCATAATCTACAGAGAATATGTTGAAGAACACAAAAGAGAGGCTCGAATTCGTGAACATTACCACTGTTGGAGTGAGTCAGTCTATACCTGGGGTTTTGGGTACAAAAATGCTACCAGATTTTTCAGTCATAAATCTGTGTTTGCTCAGGAATACTCAACCGAAAGAGAGACGCGGCTCTACCCAGATTTTGGGGGAAGTGCTTGGTGGAACAGGTCACAACTAATCACTGACCCTCAGAACCTTGCAGAAAAGTTGTTATAAGTAAACAGCAGATGCAACTGTGATTTATTCCCCTTGAAACGATGTTGTCAACGAATGAAATAAAATTCACAATAAAAAGCATTGTTGTACCTAGTTTGCATTGGACAAGGATTTTTCTCTTGTCCAAGAAGCTGCGGGAAATCTAGAACTCCGTAATTTGCCCGCAAGTTTGTATCTAGACGTACATTTTTGCCTGATGTTATTCGAGTAGAAGTGCAGGTGCGTGATCGGCTTCGGAGAACACGGAAAGGCGATCTGTTGATTTGCATACCAAAATTTCGGAGCTTCGATTTGCCACGCCAAAACTTTCCCCAGGAGTATACATGCAATCTACCTCGGTATGCTCACGAAGAGGTAAGCCGCACGTCAGTCTCGGTTCTACAGATAAGCTAATATCACTTGTTTTTGTGGTCTCCATGCCTGTAATGTAACGATTTCTATAATTTTGAGGACTGCCTGACGTCTCTGAGTTAGTCTTCGCATTTCTCAGAATTGAAGCAACAATCCATGTCTTGACACGTTATCCTTTCAGCGGTGATATCTTCGATCCTCGAGAAGTGTTTCATTCCTCGAGTTTCTTTTGGTAAGAAAAAGCGCGATGGGGCAAAGTCGCCGAATGGAAGATTTCAGCTTTCTACTGCATAGTATTGCATTGGAATCCGTGATAGATAAACCGGGATTCCGTGCCTTCGGATGGGTAATAGCAGAGTCCGGAAACAGTAATTAAGGTGCGTCTCTCGTCTATGGGCGCTCCACGCAATACCAATGAAAGGATTAAGCTCTTTGCTGCAGAGTTATTTACTAGAAAACACCAACTGAACAGTTACAGATTATTGGACACGGGAGCAAAACTCATATACATCTTGTTTATAAAAACTAAATATCCATCATATCCTTGAACGCGTCTTCTTTAACTTTGCTGGATATTCATTGACTCTTACCTCAAATGCAGCAAATGTTACGGAGCGACTTCACAAATTCCGTAATAGATCTCACTTTTTAATAGACGTGAAGCGGATTTACGAGAAAACATGCTACTCGCATGCCCCCCTGTCAGTAGTATCACCGTTACACCAACACCACTTTTCATTCAATATTATTTCTCTCAAGATGGAAATGTTTAAAATGCGGTAAGACAGAGGTAGTGAAATAGCAGTTAAATAGCAGCTGTTTATCTTGCTTATGTAAGAAGTACTGTTGAGTAATTTAAAAAAAACAGCCTGAATAGTTTTGAACGGTTTATGCTGAGGTAACTTTGGGATGAAACATAAGTGGTGTTTTTATACTCTGTCTAATGTAGGTATGTCATCCGGCGTATTTGGTAAGCTACATCCGTGTACTAGTCTATTCCAGCTTCCACCTTGGTATCGCTGTTTGCGCTCCTACGGAGGCACTTCACAAGCCTTAGCAAAATAACTCGCCTGTTTAGTTCGCATCTAGCTGAGCAGAACAAAACCCTACACAACTACAAGCAAGACATGTAACTCAAGAGAGCCTATCTCCTGGGATGCGTCTAACTGGTACACTAGATTGCTCCTCTCTCATTTCGGGAAAACGTTCTCTTCAAGAGTACACCTGTGAATTTTTATTCAATAGTGTTACAACTGCGTCCATCCAGCTCAGGCTAACTATTTGTAGGTTGTTTGGATCGGAAAATAATACCTAAAAGACGTTAATGCTTTTAATTTATGCAATTATTTTCAAGCACCAAAAAGTTTATAATTCAATCGGAATTATTTGATTTGTGGTTAGATTTATCGTTAGCATTAGGTGCATCGTTTTACAAGCTGGGCGATATTATTCAAAATTTGATTGGATAGTGGAGAGAGCTGAGTGTAAGATAGACAGGTTGAGTACAACCAATGCTATATAAAATGAATACATACCGGATTGTAGAGTTTACCATTTTCTGATTTGTTGTATTGCAGAAAATTGATGATTATGCGTTCTGAAATGTGTACATATTATTTCTGTGCCATGTATCCAAAGATCAGGCTCCCAGAAACTCTTTGACTTACTTATACCGGAACAGCAACAGCGTTTCACGTGCTTTGTCGTCTTTCACAAAAGGGATGTATTACAAAAATGTGTTGGCATTAGCTCCATTCCTACTGGGATTGATTGTTGAAAAGGTTCATTCTGGTGAGTCCTACTGCTTAAGTTCTTTTCGGGGTCGCAAATATCGCATGCTTGTGAACAGTCTCCTGGAAGGCTTTATTAGTTAACAGCACACTGGAGTTTCAGAGATTCTAGAACGCGTCTGATCAGTTTACTTAAATCTCCACGTAAATTTACAACTCCATTTTTAGAAACAGATAGCGAAAAACTTAGATATCACACATAGAAATGCGATTGGCGTCATAAGTAAATTAGTTTTTGCAGTAAAATTCCGAATTTTTTTGAAAGGAAGCTTATTAAAAGACTAACCGTTGCAGAATATGGAATTTTCAATGGTTTTTCCTACACCTTATTCTTAAAATTAAAAACAGAGTGGGAAACAATAAAAAAACGGGTATGGGAGTTCAAATGTTATGCCATTTGTGTGTGACGACCTGATGTTCTTTTCATCTCGAGGCTACCAGCACCGCCTGAGTTTCTAAGAACACTGTCAGCGGTTTAGCTGAATTCCAAACACTCGTCGAATGTGTCTTGCTTGGTGAGGCCGATCACAACTAATTATGTACCACGTT